TGATGAGTTTCAGCTGCTTTGGTGCACTAGATGGGCAACAATGAGACGACCTCCAAAACAGGAACGGCTTTACAGGTGGAGGCCACTGACATTTTTTTCTCCCTACTCATCTTTTTCTGACTGTTTCTCACTAGTTTTGCTTTTGGCTAGAGTCAGTGTCACTACTGGTAGCATGAGGCGATACCTGGACCCTATAGAGGTAGGTTGCACATGCATGCCAACTCCTCCAGGATGGCACATCAATACGTGCCATGGCCAGAAGATTTGCTGTGTCCCCCCCAGCACAGTCTCAGGAGCATGGAGGAGGACACAGGCAGTTACTCTGGGAGAGCTGGCCAGGGCCGTAGAAGGTCCTCAACCCGTCAGCAGGACCGGTGTCTGCTCCTTTGTGTAAGGAGGAAACAGGATGAGCACTGCCAGAGCCCCACAAGATGACCTCCAGCAGGCCACTGGTGTGACTGTCTCTGACCAAACAATCAGAAACAGACTTCATGAGGGCGGCCTGAGGGGCCTGACGTCCTCTAGCGCAGGCCTTCTTAAACTTTCTCCACTCGTGACCCCTTTTTGGCCGAGGACATTTTTAAGGGACCCCAGCGTCGGACGGTGTCTCCTCTTTCCCCCAACGTTGGTCGGTGTCTCCTCTTTCCCCCAACGTCGGTCGGTGTCTCCCCCCTTCCCTAACGTCAGTCGGTGTGTATGTGTGTCCCCCCCCCCCAGCATCGGTCAGTGTCTCTCTCCTCTTCTCAGATCTCAGATCGCGACCCACACTTTAAGAAGCACTGCTCTAATGGGCCCTGTGCTCATAGCCCGTGGAGGTCGATTGGTCATTTGCCATTGAACACCAGAATTGGCAGGTCCGCCAATGGCGCCCTGTGCTTCTCACAGATGAGACCAGGTTCACCCTGAGCACATGCGACAGACGTGAAAGGGTCTGGCGAAGCCGCGGAGACTGTTATGCTGCCTGTAACACCGTTCGGCATGACCGGCTGGTGGTGGGTCAGTGATGGTCTGAGGATGCAGGTCCATGGGGGGGATGCACAGACCTCCACAGGCTAGACAATGACTGCCATGTTATGGGAATTAAATCCTTGGACCCGTTGTCAGACCCTACGCTGGTGCGGTGGGTCCTGGGCTCCTCCTGGTGCACGGCCATGCCCGGCCTCATGTGGCGAGAGTATGCAGCTAGTTCCTTGTCCAGTATACAGGAGATATCCAGCATCATATTTTTCCCCATTGAGATCTGATGTGTTTTCAAAGTGTTCCTTTCATTTTGTTTTGAGCATGTTGTCACGGTAACAGGTGTCCCCATTCTAAGCTTTACCCTCTGTTGCTGTTCTGGTGACAACTGTAACATTTGGCATTTTCCATCACCCCTGCTGGTGTGTCGTCGTGTCCCCGATCTCAGATTCAGGAGCCTGTTCTGCATGATGCAAGTGTTGAGTCATATGTGACACATGTGACACGCCACCTCTGGGATCATGGGCTCCTCCTCACCAGACGGGGACAGCAAAGTGTCAGCAAAACCCAATACAGAAATAAATCGCATTCCTTGTCCTCATCTGCCATCGTCTGTGTACCCTGGAAGAGCAAAAAATGTGAAACTTCCTGTATGGGGGTGACTACGCTGACTGTACACGGTCTCAAATATGGGATGTAGTCACCCTCCTCAGTGACACAGCCAGCACCGGCACAGAAAAGCCTCGCATTTATTACTGCACCACCTACAGCAAGGGTAGCCAGATATTTCCCCTCTGGCTGTGGCTAGACTACAAGTCCCATCATGCATCTGTCTCTGGGAGTCATCCCTGGGAGAATCTTGCAGTGCCTCGTGGGATTTGTAGTTCCACAACAGCTGGAGGGCCGGAGTTTGGCCACCCCTGGCCTACACCAAGGCTAGCCAAAACTCCAGCCCTCTTGCTGTGGTTCAACTACAAGTCCCACGAGGCATTGCAAGACCGACAGCCATAAGCATGGCTCCCAGAGACAGGTCCATGATGGGATTTGTGGTTTCACCGCAGCCGGAGGGCAGAAGTTTAGCTTCCCCTGGCCTATGGGCTTCTTCAGTGACAGTGTGAGTGGCATGCGTGCGCATTGGTTGCGGCAAGTGCAATGAATGATGGGAGTTGTAGTATCTGTCCCTATAATGAGGCGGCCTGAGCCGGTCACCTAAGAGCTCTTAGCATCAGCAAGGGGGGACATTAGAGTGTAAGCTCCTCTGTACAGAGACTGATGTGACTGTGGGGGGAGGGGACATTAGAGTGTAAGCTCCTCTGTACAGAGACTGATGTGACTGGGGGGGAGGGGACATTAGAGTGTAAGCTCCTCTGTACAGAGACTGATGTGACTGGGGGGGAGGGGACATTAGAGTGTAAGCTCCTCTGTACAGAGACTGATGTGACTGGGGGGGAGGGGACATTAGAGTGTAAGCTCCTCTGTACAGAGACTGATGTGACTGGGGGGGAGGGGACATTAGAGTGTAAGCTCCTCTGTACAGAGACTGATGTGACTGGGGGGGAGGGGACATTAGAGTGTAAGCTCCTCTGTACAGAGACTGATGTGACTGGGGGGGAGGGGACATTAGAGTGTAAGCTCCTCTGTACAGAGACTGATGTGACTGGGGGGGAGGGGACATTAGAGTGTAAGCTCCTCTGTACAGAGACTGATGTGACTGGGGGGGAGGGGACATTAGAGTGTAAGCTCCTCTGTACAGAGACTGATGTGACTGGGGGGGAGGGGACATTAGAGTGTAAGCTCCTCTGTACAGAGACTGATGTGACTGGGGGGGAGGGGACATTAGAGTGTAAGCTCCTCTGTACAGAGACTGATGTGACTGGGGGGGAGGGGACATTAGAGTGTAAGCTCCTCTGTACAGAGACTGATGTGACTGGGGGGGAGGGGACATTAGAGTGTAAGCTCCTCTGTACAGAGACTGATGTGACTGGGGGGGAGGGGACATTAGAGTGTAAGCTCCTCTGTACAGAGACTGATGTCACTGGGGGGGAGGGGACATTAGAGTGTAAGCTCCTCTGTACAGAGACTGATGTGACTGGGGGGGAGGGGACATTAGAGTGTAAGCTCCTCTGTACAGAGACTGATGTGACTGGGGGGGAGGGGACATTAGAGTGTAAGCTCCTCTGTACAGAGACTGATGTCACTGGGGGGGAGGGGACATTAGAGTGTAAGCTCCTCTGTACAGAGACTGATGTGACTGTGGGGGGGAGGGGACATTAGAGTGTAAGCTCCTCTGTACAGAGACTGATGTGACTGTGGGGGGAGGGGACATTAGAGTGTAAGCTCCTCTGTACAGAGACTGATGTGACTGGGGGGGGAGGGGACATTAGAGTGTAAGCTCCTCTGTACAGAGACTGATGTGACTGTGGGGGGAGGGGACATTAGAGTGTAAGCTCCTCTGTACAGAGACTGATGTGACTGTGGGGGGAGGGGACATTAGAGTGTAAGCTCCTCTGTACAGAGACTGATGTGACTATGGGGGGGAGGGGACATTAGAGTGTAAGCTCCTCTGTACAGAGACCGATCAGTGAGGATATAAATAAAAAAGATAATTTATTAATGTTCTTATATTCATTGTCTCTTCTTATGATGATTAACAAAATTCCACTCGTCATAACTCAGCCCCACCCACACCGCTCTGCATCACTGGCAGCCAATCAGTATCTTCCCTTCTTCAAACACTGTATGGAAGAATGAAAGGAACACTCCCATTGGTTGTTGGGAGGGGGGCGTTTCCAGAGTCCGACACGCCGGGCAGAGTAGTGGGTTCTGTTTCCTGAGCAGTCTGTGTGTCTGCGCCCCTTCCAGAGACCTCACTTCATACACACAATGATATTCGGATCGCTGTCCAGCCTCTCGTCCAACTCCCGGTAGCTCATCCCTGCAAGAGAACATACAATGACTGACCTCCGTCCTCCCCTTCAGTCTTCTATCTGACCTCCGTCCTCCCCTTCAGTCTTCTATCTGCCCTCCGTCCTCCCCTTCAGTCTTCTATCTGACCTCCGTCCTCCCCTTCAGTCTTCTATCTGACCTCCGTCCTCCCCTTCAGTCTTCTATCTGACCTCCGTCCTCCCCTTCAGTCTTCTATCTGACCTCCGTCCTCCCCTCCAGTCTTGCACAGTTGTATCGGCTCCTCCCCTCTTCCTCTGATGTCACTGCACACTGGGAGCTTCTCACAATGTACATTAGAAGCAAGTCAGATAGAGCTCCGCCTCCTTTCCTAGCTGGACGCCCAGCATCACCTAGCGCTTGCTAACTGTCCCTGGCTCCGCCCCTTTCATTTATTGGAGTTCAGTTCTTTGGAGGGTGAGGAAGGGAAATTCTCGGACACACGGGGAGCACAGACATAAGGGACCCACTGACCGCTCGTCCACTCTCTGCAGCTGCTGCGTGTGTCGGGCGATGAGATCGCGCACAGTGGTACCCGGACTGAGGCCGCAGTACAACTGGAAGACGTCGCGGAGACTCGGCCGCTTCAGACCTGCGGAGGAGAAGGCAAGCACAAGATTTGTGGGGTACATACACATCAACTGACCCAACAGGACGTTCACTGTACAGAGTCCTCGGCGAGGAAGTTTAATCCGCTTATATCTTGCCCTCCCCTCCCCCACCATCAACATGATAAGGACAATGCTAAAATAATCTTTTCGTCTCCCTTACACACATGGCAGAACATTCAGAGCAGTCCTGTGTCCGTGCACGCTTCCTGTGTTATCTCATTAAATCTAATTAGCCACTCCCACTTCTTATCTACACTATACTGTGGGGCTGATGTATAAACGTTCTCCCAGGGTATAGCTGGTCAAATGCCATTCGCACTTCATTGCTGCCACTAGATGGAGCCGAGGAGCATTGAAGATTTTAAAGCTCGTCGGCTCCATCTAGTGGCAAGAATGAGGTGCGAACGGCATTTA